AGGGTTTAGGGCTGTTGTACATAGGGTCGCTATGAGTGGTAAATGATTCGACGGCACATAACAACAACAAACAAACTGCTTTTAATTATAATGTTTGGTGCTTTTCTTTATATTGGCCTTTTTGTCTCTAGTGAGGTTTATTCCCAAGTATTTATATCTTCTTGTTGGCTACTGTAAATGGTATGGCTTTACTTGTTTCCTTTTCCATTCTTTCTTTGTTGCTTGAGAGAAATCCAAATGATTTTTGAATATTGATCTTGTATTCTGCCATCAAAGTGTCATCTTTGTTCTCTGGCACTTCAAAGAGCTTCTTCAGTCCCATAAGGACAAATACTGAATAAGACCATTACTGAAGAAATAGAAAGGTAACTAGTAAAGCATGTATGGGGCTCCACAAGGAAGGGAGGGTAGGAGCAGAGGAGTGAGGATGGACAGGGGGTTAATCACAGAGTCATGGAAGGCCTGGGTAAAGAAAAATGGAAAGATCTGGTGTGAAAAAATAAAGTATAAAAACTTTATAAGCAAACCAGTATAAAATAAAAATTTTGGTTTTTTTAAAAAAAGAAAGTGCCTTGGCAGCAGTTTTATATAGTGCAACACATCTTATTTCTTGACTGCTGATTTCATAGATGTTAATTGTGAAGCCAAGTTAAATGAAATCCCTGATAACTTCAATATTTTCTCCTTTAATCATATGTCAATAATCACAAAGATGTTGCTTACTGATCCAGGTATGAGGACTCACACAGGTGTGAGGACACCAAGGGTGTAATCAATGTTGAATGTTGTAGTCTTTGAGCTTCATCAGTAAGTGTGTCAAATCTTATTTGGTTTTGTATAAGGAACAGATACAACAGTGGCGTGGCCAAGTCTGACGTCTCTGCATTTCATATTGGGGAACTTTTCCCATCAATAATATCCACAGTACCATACAAACAGCTACACTGTCAGACATGCCACCCCAGAAGCTCCTGCACCTACTTCTACCAATCATTGTCCAACGTTTGTTGCAATTTACCTCACACACTGTTGTGGGTTTTCTTAAGGAAACAGATTAGGGAGTGGAGAAGGCAAAGAGTATCACGCAGTACTAGGCCGGTTCAGTTGAGCAGTTCCAAGCCAGACTGTTGTTGTTGTGTACCATTGAGTCAGAACTGGCCCACTGCTTATTTGTTCTGTGGACCAGAGCACTGCTTGGAGGCAAAGATGATAAAACTTCCTCTCACACACTTTGGGCATGTTGCTAAGCGAAGCTATTCCTTGGAGAGGGACATCATGCTTGGACAGGTAGAAGGACAGTGAAGAAGAGAAAGACCCTCAACAAGGTGGACTGACACAGTGACTGAAGCAATGGGCTTGAGTACATCAGAGATTGTAGGGATGGCACGGGATACAATAGGGTTCAGATCTGTTGTTCAGAGGTCACCACTATGAGTCCTATTCGATTTGATGGCATCTAACAACAGCAGCAACAGGTAGACAATGACTTTTGCTAATTACAAACACACTTTGTATCCTGTAGGAACAAAATGTTCACTTTTCATGAAACATAAATTCTTTTAAGGTACAAAACATGGCATTTTATAGAAATAATAAGTTCCTCTTTTAATAAATACTGATGAATGCTCACTATTTACATATAGCTGTGCCATGGTGTTTACTCTTAGTGCTTCAACTGCAGCTCGAGAGAAACCATCCCACTTAACTGTCTCTGTGTTCTGAAGGAGACACTCCCAGCTCATTTCCCAGAGACTCACGATCACTGCTGTCCCAAAGCAGGAGGGCATAGACTCTCTGGCGCACAGGCCGGTAGGTGAAGGCTTGGCTTGGCAGGGCCTGGTCCAGCTCATCCTCCAGGGTGTTGCTGCACTCGATCTCACCGCTGCTCATGACGTTGTAAACCAGGTAGCTGTCTCCTTGGACGTGCTGTGCTTTAGCAACCTAGTCAAAATTCAAATACAATGGACTTCCTGGGAACCAAAATGATGTGTGAGCCAACTGGTTGGTTCCGCCTCACCAGAATCCACGGGACAGTAGGGCTTTTAGGCTGTAAATGTGACATAAGCAGATTTCCAGCTCTTTCTCCCTCAGAGCTACTGCAGGAGTTCAAACAACCCACTTTTAGGTTAACATCCAAGGCTTAACCACTGCACCACTAGGGAGGCTTTCAAAACCAAATCATGATCTGCTATTTGAAGAAGTGACCTTTACCATCCATCACTTTTCTTTTCTTTCTTTTTTTTTAAATTTTTATTCTGGAAAGAGAGGGAAAAAAATTCCTTATTTTGTCCTTTCTTTTTTTTTATTTTAAAAAATTTCCCAAGAGTTGTCTCCAAGGTCCCTTAGGGCAACCCATACATGCAACAGGCTGCATACACTACCACGGAGTTGCTGTTCGCAGCCATTGCACACTGGCCTCCACAGAAAAGGAGGACGGTCAGCTTAATTAGCTGCCACCATCACTTTTCTTAAGGCACTCAGAAATGGGTCAGCACTCATTCTAATATCTGACATCCAAGAGTGTCTCCATTCCTTCAGTTTCCAGGTCTCCAATCATCTGGCGGCACCCCCGAGCCCCTCATTTCCTCCAGCATCCGCTCAGTCTGTCTACATGGCACACTCTCAGCAACTGTAGCTCATTACTTTCTGTGCTGTAGTGACCTGGGATTTCTATGGGGACCCTCCACCAGCCGCTCCACTCCAGCAACCCTTCAGGGAATAGGACTGCCACTACAGTCCTTCAGCTCACACCCAGCCAGGCTGCAGCTGGTGTCCAACTTTATGTATAGCTTTACACTGAGGAACCACTGATACCTTCAGATGCAAGTAATCTGAGAGCCCCAGCCCCTCACCTGCTCCTCTCTCCTCAGTACCCCTACTTTCTCCCAGAAAGCCTTCAACCTGGGTGCCCTCTCCTTCCACTCCTTGCCCCAGAATATCACCTCGCCCAAACCCTTCCCATCTCCCCATAAGAATTGCTCCTGGCCTCATGCTGCTCTGTTGCACTGAGCTGAGAGCAGAGGAGCCCTGTGGAGTCTCTGTGCTGAGGGGGAATATGCTACCAGACTCTGCTGTTCCCAGCTATTACTGACCAGGTGCTCCCTGCTCCACTGTGAAGGCCAGTGCAGGCAGTTGATGGACAAAAAATCCACTCTACTTCCTTTCTTAACAAGAGCCAGGGTCAGAAGACCTGGGCAAACCCATGCAGGCTTATCTCCTCTGTGAAGAGATCCTATTGCTGGAAGGGTGCACTGACCCGGACTACTATTCAAATGGGTATTTTGCCTAACACCCAAGGCTTGTAAAATGTGGTTTCAGAATACTTGGACCAGGTCTTACTGTCACAAGAATTCTGTTCTAGTGATGCTGGATCAGGACACAGGCTGAGTCTCCGCCTCTTGGCTCCTCACTCTCTTTGCACACTAAGTATTATGATCAAGTGCAGCCCCAGGACCTCAGGGTGGTCAGTCGGGCAGGTCTGGAGCAACGCCCAGTCCACATGAGGAGTGTCAACCATTTCTTATCCCCATATTGAAAAGTCTCCACCTCAGTGCTAAATGTTCCCCACAAAAAGGTGGCTAGCAGTTCCTAGGTTAGCAAGGCAGCAAAATGATTTCTCAAGAGCTCCCGTAACAAGCTGAGCCCTTGTGTATAGCCTCGATTCTCTTCCAGCTGCAGGCCACCAGTGACCTGCCACCCTACTCCCATGCTTGCCCTGCACTCACCCATCCCAGCAGGCACTGGCCCTAGCACGCACGGCCTGGCTGCAGTGTCACCTCTTTTGGGAGTGTCTTCCTAACCACCTTCCCTCACAGTAACTTCTCTCTGAATTCTTACAGCTCTCTCCTGAGATGATCATGGTACCTCACATAATCTACCCTGAGGGTTCTCATAGACCTTCTGCCACTCTCAGACACCTGCTGTGGGTCCTCATGATGCCCAATCACCAACAGTAGTCACTAAACACGGGCCCCTCAATGGACACACTTTCAGTTATGACATGTTCAATCCGGGTAAGCTCATCCACTTACCTTTAAGATTTCAGAGTCTGAAACCATGGTCATTTCCTGCTTGATTTCAGGGTGTGAACTAAAGTTTACTTGCTTAAACTCAGGGTCTGTACACATGGTTGCTTCTAGTTTAATTTTTGGATCTGTATCCATGGTTATTTCTTGCTTGGATTCAGGGTCTGAACTCAAGAACACTAACTGATCATTCAAATTTATTATAGTCTTGGGTTTTTTGAAAAACCATGGAGATGTCTGACCTGGCAAAAGGTAAGATGCCACTCCTTTATAAAAAAGAGCTGTGTTTGGTCCCAAAGGCAGCATCTCCTCTAGTCTCTTCTCACCTTGCTGCAAGTGGAGGACTCTGGCGATGTGATCTGCCACAGCCAGGATGGTGTTGCCTCTCCTGTCCAGGTTCTCCCTGACAGAGGTGTAGGAAGACAAGCACTTGTATCGGAAGCTTTCGAACATGCCTTCTGGGATGATGTCGTTGCCAAGCAGGCAGGCCAGGAGGGGGAGGTCAGCCACATGGAGACGCAGGCTCTTGCAGAGCTGCTCCCGGCACAGCATGACAGTGTCAAGTGTGTCCAGGCACAGTTCCCGGATGGACAGGTAGGGGCAGGTGTTGTAGATCAAGTAGTCTGTGTCCTCACCCAGGACCCCAAGGCAGCCATCCTGAAGGCCCCAAGTAGCCACTTCGTAGTCAGCCTCCTGCAGAGAGCAGTGGGCCTCCTGACCCAGGGCCTTCAGAGCAAGTCGTGTGAACACGGCTAGGCCAGGCGGGATGAAGAACATGTGCCTGCCAGGCTGCTCTCCACGGGACTTGATGTAGTTGAAGATCCTGGAGATCTCCTTGCTGTTCTTCTGTCTGCGCTTCACCCACTCATTCCGCTTGTCCTGCTCCACCATGCCATCGAAGAAGAATACCAGCCTGATGCCAGCCTCTGTGAAGGGATGGATGAAATTCTGCAGGGCGGAGTAGTACTCTCGCCATTGGCCACCACAGACCCAGGATTCCGGCGTGTACCAGTATCTGAGGCAGCACATGGCATCAACCACGATGGTTGGTGGGCTGCCAGGGTGCTTACTCCGGTGGCACTGTGCTAGCTCTCTGAGATTCACGACTGTGCATATGTGGGGGCAGGTGCTGCCCACAAATCCCTGCAGCCCCCGCACACCCATGAGGCAGAGAACCTGCAGAGAAAACAAAGTACGTTCAGTAACAGTGGATACAGGGACTGTGCTAGACACAGGGTCCTCCCAGAGCTTGGGCAGTCTGTACCGTCCATGCTCTCCAATGGGCCTCCAATAGTGCTGGAGTGGTTATGAGATGCTGGGATACAGACAGCTATGTATTCAACATTGCAAATACCAACACGGTGACCCATTGTAGATGGGTTTCAGGAGAGCTTCCAGATTATGACAGATTAGGAAGAAAGGCATGGCTATCAGGTAGTCAGGACCCTCACTCTAAAGTCAGCCAATGAAAAGATGAAAAGTCCTAACACTGTGGTCCTACAGTCTGCTGGAAGAGCTCCGAGGCTGGAAGGCACTCAGAATACACAATGGCTGCAGCAATGACAGACACATCAATGATCACAGATGGCACAGGGCCAGAAGTATTCCATTCTGTAGTCCACGGTTATCGTGAGCTGGGCCAGCTTGAAAGCAACAACTCTATTTCCAAAGAAACTCTTATCACAAAGCCAACATCAGTCTCTGACTTGAATGAAGGTGAACTACCAGAAACCATACAACACAGCAATGTTTTAATATTCTCACTCTCAATCAGATTAAAAAACAGGTCAACAGTTTTCAAAGTAGTACTTTTCCTATCTAGAATCCAATAAAAGTTATTTTTAAAAACTTAACTATAGCTCAGGCCTGGTTTTAACTGTTTTTGGTCAAACAGCCTTCTAAGTGGTAGAGCACTGGTCTGTCCATTTGCTGTACAGAGGTAACTTTAACTTGTGGTTGCTGCAATACTAAACACTGTGGCACTGATGTGTCAAATTCGATAATGGTTACCCATAGTGGACAATGTTTGGTGGAGCTCCCTGCTTAAAACAAGCTTGGATGCAGGAGTGGCATCCACTTCCAAAGCAGCCTGCCTCCAGAAACTCTATGAACTTGGAGAAACGATGAAAGTTATACAAGTGTTCAAGTCTTTCATGCATAGGGTCACTATGAGTCGTCTATGACTTGACGGCACTTAACAACATAGCCTTCAATATGGATTACATCTTGACATCAAGAAAACACTGACCACTGTAACAATAGGCAACATCATGAAAGACTGAAGCTGTCAATGATTTCATTTTATTAGGATCTATTATCAACACTAATTGTAACAGCAGTCAAGAAATCAAGAGATGTGTTACATTACGAAAATCTGCTATCAAGGACATCTCCAAAGTGCTAAAGAGCAAGGAAATAAGTTTAAAAAGCCTAAAAAGTGTGGCTAATCCAAGCTTGGTATATTTCAATTGCTTCTGATGCATCTGGAAATTGGGACAACAAATAAGGAAGACCAAAGATGAATGAATGCCTTTGTAGTGCTGGACAATGATGACTATCCCATGGATGCCAAAAGAGCAAACAAGTCTGTCTTGGAGGAAGTGCAACTAGGGTGCTCTGGAGGGGCAAGAATCCTGACAGTTCTGTCTCATATACTGTGAGCATGTGGTCAGGTGGTGCTAGTCTGTGGAAAAAGACATCATGCTGAGAAAGGCAGAGAGTCAGAGAAAGACAGGAAGATTCTAAATGACATGGATTGACAGTGATTTTAACAACGGACTTGAACACATCAGAAATCATGAAGATGGTATAGGATACAGTAAGGTTCAGATTTACTGTTCATAAGGTGGCTATGAGTTGTAGTCAACTCGATGGCACCTAACAAAAACAACAAAGCCTAAACTGGCACATACAATGTGGATGGCTCCCCAAAGAATTTTTCTGAGTGAAAGGAGCAGGACAAAGAGAGAGATACAGGCATGATTTCATTTACTCAAAACTCATCTTAATCTAGAGTTAGGCTGGCTGATCCACAGTAACAGAGTAGATCAAGGGCTGGGATGCAGGGGGGATGGCCTGGGAAGGATGGATGGCGAAGAGATTGAGATTGTTCACAGCTTCAGTTTGCTCGGCTCCATGGTCAACACTCTTGGCACCAGTAGCCAGGAAATCAAAAA